TCTGTATTTATGAGAAGAGAGAATTTTCTCTTCATACGGGAAGGAACAATGCTATGAATTTTCTTGTCATCATTCACTTCACCAATTGATTTTGCCTTCACGGTCTTCATCGTTTTTTCAAATTGATCGCCTATCACTTCTAAACAATCAAAAACAGATGTCGAAAATTGATTTTTCTTTGACGTGAAGACGTTTAGCCTTTGAATGACTGAAGGTTGAATGGAGATGGAAGTAAAACATTGATTTTCTTCTTTTGTTGTGGTCATACTCATCCTCTGGAAGACCGAAGGTCGAGTAGTTGAAGGCTTGATGCGATCGAAGACAGAAACCCTTTGCTCAGTTATTTTAAAGTTGTCAACCTCTTCCACATTTATGTAATGTGAACTTGCAAGATTTTCTTTCTTCTTTTTGATGTAGAAGAATTTTTTGGGAAAAATTCTTTTAAGGTCGCCGATATCTGGGGTCGAAAGGAGTCTTTATTTTCTTTCATATCTGATTTAGGCTTCCTTGAATCCTTATTTCCTTGGTGTTCATGCTCTTTGCTGAGCATAGATGACTTCTTCTGAGCAAAACTTTGTTTTTGTTTCTTCCGACGAGCCCAATTTTCCTCTCCCTGATTGATGGATTTGACAACATCTAGAATGGTATTTTTTGAAGTCTTTTGTTGAGAGTGAACAGATATAGGCTTCAACGTTCCAAATTTGATCAAGTTTATCCTCTTATTGTAGAATGAACTTTGAGGTGTTTGGCTGCCTATATTTGTTGTTACTGCAGCGTGATTTGATTGAGCTATTTCATTGAAATCCAACTCAATCTTTCCCTCTCGAGCTAAGTTTAGGATATGCTCTTTTAGGACAAAACACTTTTCCACTGGATGACTAATAACTCGATGGTACTTACAATATTTTGGATTATCAACTTTACCCATTTCTTCTGGCCGTATACACTCAGGAAGTATTTATCAGTCGTGTTTCCAGTAGTTGTTCCAACATATAAGAGATATCGAAATCAGGTAAAGGATAAACCTTTTCTTGTCTTTCCTTCAAGCTTAGCCATATTTTCCTATTTCCTTGTTGCTTATCAATTCTCTTCCCTTTTATTTTTGAAAACAACTTGGGAGAGATTGTGTTTACACGAAAAAATTCATTTGAAGTTTTCTCAACACTTTTGCTTTCTTTCTCTAAGTCCAGCACTAAAGAATCCTTACTTCCTCGATTAGCAATGCTTAGCTCCATATCGTGAGCACGAGTTGTTAGCTTTTCAAAGGTGCGAGTTTTTATACCTTGAAGGATATAAAAAAGTTCCCAATGCATACCTTGAGTGCATAATTCGACAGTAGATAGTTCAGTAAGTCTATCTTTGCAATCAAGACTTAGAGCTCTCCATCGGTTGATATATTCGACAACCGGTTCACCTTTTCTTTGTTTGGAGTTCGTGAGCTGCATCATGCTGACGGTTCTCTTCGTACTGTAAAAGCGATTTAGGAATTCTCTTTCAAGCTGTTCCCAACTCTCTATTGTTTCAGGTTCGAGATCAGTATACCAGTCAAAGGCATTTCCCTTTAACGTTGTGACGAACTACTTGACCAATTGATCGCCTCTTGTACCAGAATTCTCACAAGTTTCGACGAAGTGAGCAATATGTTGTTTGAGATTGCCCTTCCCATTGAAATGTTGGAATTTTGGAGGTTGGTATCCAGCAGGCATTCTCAGATTATTAATCCTCTTAGTATATGGCTTAGATACAAGAGGGAGCTTTGAGAAGATCCGCCGTATTGCGCTCTAATCGTGTCCGTGATCATATCTTGGAGTTGCTGAACAGACAGCGAAGCGATCGAAGTGAAATATTGCGATTGATTTTCTTGAGCGATAGTCTTTCCCTTGTCATTTATCTTGAAAGCAGGGGTTTGACTCGACTCAGCAACATCTCTGCTTTCAATCTGATTCTTCAGGGAAGCGATTTCATAATCTCTTTCTTCCACTGTTTTCATCAATGCAGCTAGCTTCTTTTCCATTTCAGCTATTTTTTCATCCATAGTGCTTGCATCAGTCATCATAACAGAGACAATGTCAGGATTAGGATCAAATAAAGGGTTATGATCAACAAGAAATTTATCTTCCATAGATGTTTTTTGTGGCATCATTACTTTGTTTGCAACAACAGGAGGAGTTTGATGTTCCCGTAGTTGGAATTCATTAGAGCAACCATAGGTGATATGACTTGTATGAAGGTTACTCATGTAATCAGCTGTTGTAGAAGCCTTTTTAAATTCCATTGATTTTCTTGAAAAACTTTAAGTCTTGAGAAAGAGATGAGAGGTAGAGATTGTCCTACTGGGCATGCCAATTTGTTCACATGAGATTTCCGAAGAAATTAAGTTTTGTGGAGTTGAACTTTTATATTGTTTTTATGTGTTGTATAGTGGATTCAATCTCTAATCTTTATCATCTGATTCTTTCTCTCAAACTTGATGTGAAGATTGAGATGCTTGTTCTTGAATTTGGATCAAAGTTGTATGTTCTTCGAAAGTTTCCAAGTCTTCAAGTATTCAAAGTCTTCAAGTTGATATTCGAATCTTCAAGTCTTCAGAGAGTCTTCCATTTGGTATGAATTCTCTCAATTCTGAAATTTTGAACCTTCAAAATGAATGAGGTGCCCTATATTTATAGAGGTTTCCATAGGCTTTGGTGGGCCATTGGACTTGGATAATTTTGGGCCAAACCCAATTCTTTAAATGGATTTATTTAAATTTAAATATTAATCCACTTTATTTCATGGTAAATTGGGTTTTGGGCAAAGTTTGTGAACCAAATCGATTCCAAGCCCAATATTCATATGACCTAATTACATATTTTAATTGTCAAATTATCTTTAATTTTAATTTAGGGTTAATATATAATTAATCCCTAAATAAAATAGATAATGACGTGACCGTTTATGATTGACCCAATTTTTTTGGTTCTACAAATTTCATTAATTTTTTTTATTTTTTTAACACCTCTATATATAGTAAACATTGCCGGCAAGTTCTAATTTCACTATTTGTTTTTATTTTATTTTTTTAATACTTCTTTTTTATTTTTATTTTTTGAACACTGCTATATATATTAACATGTTAGAATATTAAAAAAAAAATCTCTTATCATTATTTAATAGTGTTTAATTATAGAATATTAGAAGTTGTAAAATATCAAAAGTAGAAAATAAATCTATTAAGAAAAAGACTCATTCTTAATCACCTATTATTGCCAACACCCCACTATTCAACTCATCATATCTCATTTATTTATCAAAACTTACAAGATTTTTCATTTTCTCCCAAAATACAAAATACATTTTGACATTAAAAATAAACTTCTCAAACTTCATACCTCATTTATTTAAAGAAAGAAACCCACACATAAGACTTTTCATTTTTTTTCCAAAAAAAAAAATACATTTTGACATCAAATCATAAACTTTTTATTTAAACTAGTAAAAAACACGTGTGTTGCACGTATAATTGTGTAGTTTTAATTTATAATAATATTTGCACATACATATGTCCTTTTTTTTATTACACATATGTCCTTGTTGTTAATTTTCAGAGTATGGATTTGAAAAATGATACAAATAACTTAGACGTGTATTAAGAAATGTAAAAATAAATAGATACAAGGAGAATAAAAATGTAAGATTTTCAAATATAAAAAAAGAATTTCTTTATAAACTATATATTCTTCGTACAATTCGAAGGAAAATTATTATCATGGCCTATAGGTTTTAATTATTATAGTGGGCTTTGTGAAGGAAATAAAATATTATAGTGACATTGTTATTTCTGTCTAAAATATCAAGATATAAAATATAAATCATAAAATTTGTGAGATCACGTATAAAAATTGAAAGTTTAATCATGTATACAATTTACCTACACTTTGATGAACAACAACTTGTTGCTGGAAGATAGTTCCAAATGCGAGCTTCAAGTGAAATCGATATCTTGACTTAATAAAATGTTATGGCATAAATATGAAATCCCAACATAAAAACAATTAAAAAAAACAAAAAAATCAACTATAATATAATATTTATGGCTGATAAAACAATGAACAAAATAAAACTTGAAAAATTATTGTAGTTTGATAATTTAGCAACTTTGAAATTCATACTAAACTAAATATTAAATTTATGTGAATTTTTTAAAAAGGAATGTTTTTTACTAAATGTTTTTTTTTTACTAAATGTTGTTGCCATCTCTAAAAAGTCAAATTTCAAAAATAAAATTTGTGTTACCATATCAAAAAATCAAAATCTAAAGTACTAAAAAACATTTTAAAAAAAATTTGTGTCACCATCCCAAAAATTTCAAAATAAATATTCTTTTTAAAAAGGTGAAACCTCCATTTTACGTGTTGTACGGTTTAGAACCCTTGTGTGCAAGTGTACACAACCGTTGTAGCAAGTGATAAAAAAATCATATCCACAGGGATTGATAACTAAACACTTCAATATTTTACTTAAGAAAACTCTTAGCAAAAGGGTTGAATACAAAGACTTTAGAATTTAAATGAAATAGTGCTTAAAAAGCTTACTAACTAACTGAATTAAAAACAGATGAATACAATTTGATTTTAGGAAAGTGAATTAAAGGTTAACTACTAATGTAACAAGGATAAAGAGAAGAGTTTATGTGACTTCTTTTGGGCTCAAGTAACTATAGCATTAACGATGTAATATACTAGCCAAACAGACATGGAATATTCCCAGATTTCCCAGATTTTTTGCTATTCCGTTTTAGGGCAAACATGACAGTATATCAACACAGTTTATAGCGCCTTACTAGGTGAGCCTTATTCCTAAGTACCCTCGCTCTAAACTCAAGTAGATCTAGCACGAGTTGAAGCCAAACACTCCTTATTACAAAAGCTATAAAGAGGTATTCCAATATTTTGGCCAAGCACATTGAAAATCAAACGTTAAAAACAACTTCAACTTAGTATATATATCATCATTAAAAACTAAAGCAAGGTTTACAACCCAATAACAAGTTCACAACATCCTCCCCCTAACAATGAACTTAGCTACGCAATATCATACAAGAAAAGGGAAGGAGAGCATACAATGCCCGTGTACTTAAGAGTAAAGTACAAAAGAAGAAGAAAATGAAGAATAATAGCAACCCTTCACTGTATCAGCTCCCGTTTTGTTTTCTTCAAGTTTCTCTCCAAGTGTCTTCCCTCATCTCTTGTCTTGTTATCTCTAGGGATTGATGAATAATGAATGGAGGCAACCTTGAATGCAAACTTTTATACTCCTCTTCAATTTTAGTGCAACCAAAATGGATAAAACGGGGTCCAACTTAATTTAAGGTGAATCTGTGTTTTACTACATTAAATTCTCGGGTAAAAATCTATCACTATCAGCTCTGTCTTTTCTGCATTTTTTATTCCGATGTTGTAGCATCAACAATGCTGCATCAAAACATTCAAAGTTAGATCATTCTTTTATAAATCTTAGCATCATTTGCAAATGCATGGATGGTAGTGAATTTGAAACATTATTTCCACAAAATCAATGTAGTGTGGGTGTTAGTGAGACTATCCTTAGCTAATTTATATGAAATACTTGCACAAATAACTTTCTTTTGGAGAGTTATCATTACACATTATATTAATTAAGTGCAAAATAAAAAAATATATATTTTAACATAACAGAAAACTATTTATTATTTTAAGTTTATTCATTTTAAATCAAATTACATATGTAAAATGGATTACAAAAAATTATAATTATGGTTAAATATTTTTTTTTTGAAACATTTACATATTATTTATAAAAAAACATTTAAATATTCCCGTTTAAGAGAACTAATTTGTTGCTTTGAACAGTTACCTTAGGAGGACTAATTTTATTATTTTCAATTTAAAAAACAAAATTTTACCCTATAATTAACATTGTTACCATATCTAAAGGTCAAATTTTTTTAAGACATTAATGGCTAACATTATTAAAATATGAGGTAATTTTTTTTAATGAAATATGGGATAATTAAGAAATACTAGTTTTGTAAAGCGTAATTACCACATTCTTAGTGGTTTAAATAATATTTTAAAATCTATACTTAATTTTTTTTCATATGTAAGAAGTCAAATCTCTAAAAAAAAATAATTTTAAATTTAATTAAAATTAATGACTTACATTAATAAAATCAAAGTGAACTTGAAGTACTTCAGAAGATAATCCATTTTCAAAATATAGCAAATCAATTACTATATACATTTAAAGATGCTAAGAAGGTGACTAAGTCATATATTTCACTGCAAATGTTCCATAAAAAATTGATATCCCAATACAACAAGTTGTCATTAATGAGTTTATGACACGCCAGAAGCGTGGGAGACYAATGGGCTCCAAAGATAAAAATCTTCGAAAAAGAAAAGTAGTCAATAATCAAAATGACTTGATTGAGAATGTGGATATTCCAAAAGAAAACCTAAACATGACTACTCATAAAAATACCGAAGAATGTTAAGTACCTGAAGATAATAATGAGATTTTAATAAATTACATCATGACAGAGAAAAGATGGAACCGAACTAATGTAATTATTGATCACATGTTTTCTTATAATGTAGCTCTTAACATTATATCCAAAAGTGAGGATTCTGAACCAAAATCTATCAAGGAATGTCAACAAAGAAATGATTGGCTTAAGTGGAAAAAAGCAATCCATGCAGAATTAAACTCACCTTCAAAACGTCAAGTCTTTTGACGAATAGTTCGAACACCAGAAGATGTTAAGCCTGTGGGATACAAATGAGTATTAGTAAGAAAAAGAAATGAAAATAATGAGGTCACAAGATATAAGGCAAGACTGGTGGCACAAGGTTTTTCACAAAGACTTGGTATTGATTATGAGGATACATATTATCCGGTGGTAGATGCAATTACACTGAGATATTTAATTGGTCTAACTGTATATGAAAGTTTGGACATGCATCTTATGGATATAATTACTGCATATTTATATGGATCTCTTAATAATGATATTTATGTGAAAATCCCTGAAGGATTTAATATACTAGAAACATATAATTCAAGTTCTTGAGAATTGTATTCAATGAAGTTACAAAGATCGTTATATGGATTAAAACAGTCAGTATGAATGTGGTACAATCGCCTAAGTGGATATTTGCTAAAAGAAGGATATCAAAATAATTCAATTTGTCAGTGTGTTTTTATAAAGAAATCACAGTCAGAATTTGCTATTATAACTGTGTATGTTGATGACTTGAATATAATTGAAACTCATGAAGAGTTTTCAAAGGCAATAGAGTATCTTAAGAAAGAATTTGAAATGAAGGATCTCGGAAAAACAAAATTTTGTCTAAGCTTGCAAATTGAGCATTTAGCAAATGAGATATTTGTGCATCAATCAACTTATACATTAAATTTTTTAAAAATATTTTATATGGACAAAGCATATCCATTGAATATTCCAATGGAAGTTCGTTCACTTGATGTGAAGAAAGATATATTTCGACATCGAGAAGATAATGAAGAACTTTTTGGTCCTGAAGTATCATATCTTAGTGCAATTGGTGCACTTATGTATCTTGCTAATAATGCAAGACTAGGTATAGCATTTTTAGTTAAACTTATATTTTCTAGATATAATTCTTCTCCAACAAAAAAACATTAGAATGAAGTTAAGCGTATATTCCATTATCTTTCAGGAACGACTAATATGGGCTTGTTTTATTCAAACAAATCAAATTTTGATCTAGTTGGTTATGCAGATTGTGAATATTTATCTGATCCACACAAAGCTAGATCTCAAACAGGTTATTTGTTCACATGTGGAGTAACTGTCAAATCATCGCAATCAATAAAACAGACCATATAACAGCTACCTCCTCAAATCATACTGAAATTCTTGCAATTCATGAAGCTAGTCGAGAATGTGTATGGCTAAGATCAATGACTCAATACATTCGTGGAACATGTGGCTTGTCTCTTAATAATCTTCCAACAATATTATACGAAGATAACACAGCATGTATAGCCCAAATCAAAAGATGATATATTAAAGGAGATAGAACAAAAAATATCTCACCTAAGCTCTTTTACACTAATGACCTTGAAGAAAATGACAACATCACTATTCAACAAATTTGTTCGAATGATAATTTGACAGATTTATTTACAAAGACATTACCTGCTACAACCTTTGAAAGATTGGTATGTGATATAGGAATACGATGACTCAGAGATCTTAAGTGATATTTCCACGAGGGGGAGCACAATATATTGTATTTTTTGGTTTATTAGATTATATAGATATATATATAATCTATATACATATCATCAAATAATAGATGCCCAATCTCAGGTGTCAAAAAGAAAGATGCCTTAGTAAGCCTTAACTCATGTGTCAAAATTTTCCATTTGCTTAGTGTCTCCAAGTGTCAAATTGACCAATGTCCAAGTGCTTAATTCTCAATGTCCCATGTGTCTATTTTCTACCTATTATTAGTGTCCAATTGTAACACCTCATGGTTGTACAAATTACCTATAAATAGTGACAATTCATGGTTCATTTGATAGGTAAATATTTGGTGGAAAATTCATGTTGAATTTCCAAGAGAAATTGTATTTTCTATTTTGTCCAAATCTCGTATACTCCCGTTGTTCCATAATTTTACAAAGATGATTTACTAAACATTGCCAACTGCTTTTTTATATTTAAAATTGAAATTTACCTAATACTAATTTACTTCATACTACTACAATAGATGTTTTTAAAAGCACGGTTGACACAATTCCAAAGTAAGACTTGACAAGATGATTCAATTAAAACTTTTAATTAAAAATTTTATTAATTAAAAGTTTCAACGTTGCAAGTTGAGTCAGTAAAAGCCCTAAACTAAAATTTATCAATATAAATCTCAAACTTACCTCAATTAGTTATACCCTTTTCGTTAAATTATGCAAGAAGGCTATTAGTTAAATAGGGCTTGCACCCGTTATATAGATGCTATTTTATAAATATATATATTAAAAGAAAAAAGAGGAAAAAATACCTAGTGAGATATATATGATAACGAGGATCCCTCGCCAATCAGAGCATAAGTAGGTGGACAAGACATCAAAAACATATAAAAGCTTGGAAGCACAATGAAATAGTAAAGGGTGCGAGGAAAATGAGAATGTTAGAGGAGGGAAGAGAAAATGAGAGCGAGAAAAACATGATAAGTTCTGTTAGCACGAATAAGAGGACCAAAAGACTCTCAATTTGCACCCTCACACCCCTACTAGGTTAAAACTCCATTTCCCAAACCTATAAAACTAAAAAAAAAAAAGAGGCATCTATTCTGACTTCCCCAAAGCCTCCGGCAGCACAGCCGAGACGACGATGGGTTCTCTGCCCTGCAGGGATGGAGCAACAGAAGTTTTGAGAATTCAAGAGAAGGTAATGGCGAGATGAACCATTTATCATCACGATAGGTGTCAAGTGGAAGTGTAGTGATGTATGCAGTTGAGGTGGCATCCTAACAGACCAGTAGACTTGAACCTTGTTCCTACATGACCCGATCAATTCACCTTTTATTAAAGAGGTTCCTATCCTTTAGGGTAATCGATATAGCCCTTTAAAATAAGTCATTTCAAAAAATGGCCAAACAACTCTCAGTTTTGAAGAATGAACAACGTAAAAATAGGAAAATCTCTATTAATTTTTTAGGTATGAAATTATCTTCCATGATTTTTAAATGGATATATTATTTATCCTTTTTTTTAATAGAGAATCATGCCTATATTTTTTCCTAATGAATCATTCAAATATTTTGAGAACCTTCTTTATATTTTTTAATTCAAATATTTTTCCGAGAGAATTATACTAACAAATCTAAGGAAAAAATATTAATTAAATTAAAATCTAAAACAAAATTTAAACAAAAAAAATCATTTTAGAAATAGAAATACCAAAATTTAAACAAGAAAATCATTTTAGAAATGGAAATTCCAATACCGAAGATGGAAACAAATACGGTAACAAAAATACGGTGAACAGATGAACAATACCTGAACATTAAAATGAACATATACTGTGAACAATAAGGTGAACACATAATGTTTATTTTTATTACACAATTAATAAAAAATATAAATAAAAAAAATCTACCTAAAAAAGATACTCTCTAGAAACTCATACTGTTGACCTCTCTCTTCTTTACCCTCTGCCTCTCTCCGCCCAACTTACAACTTTTTCATCCGCCCTGTTGCTCCAGCGTTGTATCCCTTGCTCTCCCTTGCTCAATTTCATCCACTCACCGCCCCACCTACAGCTATGTCACCCACCTTGTTGCTCCATCATTGTCTCCCTTGCTCAATTTCGTCCATTCCCCGCCTTGTTGTCACCCTTGTTCAATTTTCGTCCATTCTTGTGTCTCCCTCATGATACCCTTAGATCGTGTCTCACTTTGTATGCTGTCCTCTTTGAGTTGTGTTATGTTATATTCAAATATATATTTAAAAAGTGAGATAGATGATTTCTAAGAGATAAAATGTAGAAAGATAGAACAATATAACCAAAAACAAATTTGAGAATGTAAAAGAGGGAATATTATTTTGATTTTGAAAATAATAACTAAATAGAAAGGATAAGATGGTCAAAATCAAACCTGTAAAACAGTTGAAAAAATCGTAATGCACATCTTTTAGTTTTGAAAAATGGTAAGATAATTTTTTATTTAATAAAAAATCAACCTACCATCCAAAACAAAGTGACAAATAGGGACACTACTATAAATTCTCTTTCCTTTATCTAGCTGACTCCAATTTACAATTCGTGTCCACCAACAGAGTGCCCTTCACCAAGTTGTTTTGTTACTACTTAAAGTTGAATACTAAACTTGATTGGGGGGCTTTTGTTTCATCCCTCCCTTTGGCTCTTTTTGTGCTAATTTTTAAGGCCACACAGGTAACTATTGAGAGAATATGAATAAAAGAGTACTCGTATTCGTTTTATCAGCATTCTGCAAAAAAAGAAAAATTAAAAAAGCAATAATTAAATCTTACTAATTGTTTTTCGAGAATGTAGATATCCGACATCTATAGATGTTTGAAATTTCAGATGCTCGGAATTTTAGATGTCTGGCATCTTCAGATAACTACGTTTGTTTCACAGGAAAAATTTATAAAGATATCCAAGAATATTTGGATAGTCACGTTTGTTTTGTATGATTTATTCTCGGGGATGTGTTAAATTTATAGAATGTTCCAAAACTACCTTTACGAATATTAAATTTAATTTTTTTAATTTGTTATTTTGTATAACAAATTAATTCATATTAACTTAATAGATATTTCATTTTAAATTTTAATAGTTTTCCAAAAAGACAATAATATCATTAAATATCACAAGTATGTTGGTCGTAAAAAAAATGTTGTTTTAAAATGATACATTTATGATAATAAATATTATTAATAATGTAATTCCTTCAAAATATTAAAAATAAATGGAGATATTATATAATTTAATTGCAATTTATCTTACATGTAAATATAATGTACAAATATACTTAATAGCATAAAATTGTTTTATTAGACATGAGTACATTAATTTATTTTAATTATAAATTTAAAAAAAAAAGAATTTTTTGAGTAAAAATTAAAAAAAAAATTGATGACACAAATATATGGAGAAAAAAATAAATGGCAAAAATGTAAAAGGTGAATGCCCTCAACACAGATAATTTTGGAAATCTATGTTTCAAAAGGGCATCTAAAAAACTCGTAAGATGCCTCATGTATAGGCATCCTATATTACATCCCTGCAAAACAAGCATGGGAATTCAGATACTCGTCCAATGGAAATCTCTGATTTCTATGAAACAAACTGCCCCTAAATGTATTCATTAGGTAGTGAAGACCAAAAGAGGAGGAAATGGGAAAACAAATACAAGACCCTATATAACATAAACATAAAATCTACATCCATTGGGAATCCCTTTTCCAAGACCCTGTATAACACATAAAATCTACTTACACTGGGCAGGCTCAATTACCTCGAATCCTTTTATTTCTATATATTGCAATTTCTTTCTTTTAAATAAATGTTACTTATTAAACTGTATCTTCTCTTCTAGAATAAAATAACCATTAATTCTAAAAAATAGAATAAAATTACTATAATTAATAAAAAAAATTTATCTAAAATAAAATAACTACTCATTCTCAAATAAGTTTCTAATTTAGCATTAAAAAAAATTCGTCAGTAGTCAATAAATGTATGGCTTGGTACAAATTCCACCTTGGAATTTTCAACCGCCAAAAATTTGAGACGCCGAATAACAAATGATTGGCAAAAAAAATGAATTTAATTCGACAAACAATTGTATGGCTTGCCCTAAAATATTTGACGAAAGAAATAATGACAGCCAGAAATAGGACTCGAAAATAATGAAAATTGAAATCAATCTCCATCGAGAATCAAAGAAAACTGAAAGTAATCTCCACAAAGTAACGCCAATAAGCTCCCAAATCGAGAATCAAAGAAATAGCCACCAGAAAATTGAAAAATCAATCCCTTGCAACGAGGAAGTTAACAACCATAAACTTAAAAAGAAAAGGTATTGTGGGAAAATTTTCAAATTTAGAAACTAACAAATTTCACAAATTTTGAAAAGATTCTCAAATTTGAATTCGCCTCCATATTAAATCTAGTCATCCCAATAAATCAATTGGTGTTAATTGAGAGCAATTTGGGAACCAAAAATTAAAATTCAAATCTCGAAATCTAAATGCGTAAATATTTAAAATAATAGACATTTATGAAATATTGCGTATTATTTGACCCGCTCCGCTATAGACAATTTCTATTTAAAATTTACCCCAAAGTTAATTTGCTCCCTCTCTCTCCGTTGGCTCTTCCAAAGCATTTCTTCCATCTTCAAACCAAATTATCAAAGTTCCAAAAAAAAGCTCATACTTAAAACCAGAGACAAGAGGACAAAAATTACTACTACTAACTTATAACCAAAATTATCATCAAATGTTGAAAATAAAGATCCTATCTTAAAGATATAATGTGAAGTATCAAATAAAAGGGCAGGCAGATGCATATATGACAGAAAAAGGGAACTATGTCGGCTAATTTAGCATGTAACATCCACGAACCTGAACGGACGAACAACGAGACTGCAAAATCTGAACTGATGAGCTAATGAGAGGGCATAGACAAGGGTTTTGAAATGCAACTCATAAATGCCAATTTAAGATAACTATATGAGCACCAGTCAGACTTGATACAAACCTCAGTCATGAAATAAACACAGTATCAACTTTCGCTAGTCAATCTTCTAAATGGTTCTCTTCTAGCATATTTCTATACAAACTTCACCTTCAGGTAGTTGGCTATTTACAGCCCCTATTACTAGTTTCCTCTTGCCTTTTCCAGGTCGGGGAGATCTGTCGAGGGACGAGGAGTCGGTAAAAACCACAAGTACATTAGTACCATTTCTACTTCTAAAAATGAACCTGTTTACTTGTAATGTCTTTGTTTCGCTATCTAGAACATTTTCAAAATTAAGCCAAATTTTCAAAACTTAAACAGGTAGTTTTCGAAACCTTGTTCAAACTGTTCTTTGAGAAACATAAAAACAAAAACAATTATATTGTGAGGAAACACAAAAAATGTTTAAAAATAGGAAGCTAAAAGTGAGATCATTAATGAGTTTTTTCCACATGGAAAAAGGAGTGCAACTGACTTAAGTCATGTTTTAACAAATGATCTAACGAATTTTTATTTTTTAAAAAAGAAACCTGTAAGAACTTGCACCACGCAAGTTCTATGATTCATAAGAAAGACAACATATGGTTACTCTTATCACATTTTAATGGAAGGGATTAAATGGGACTCACAGAGCAGTCCTCCGTCCTCGCCGCTTCCATCATCTTGGCTCATGTACTACAGAAAATTATTTATGTGGCTTGTGTAAGACGACCTGAACTTTGACTCAATTAATGCCAATAGGAAATAGATGGAATCAACTTACTTCAAGGTCGTCGTCAGAAGCCGAAGTAGCTGCAAAACCAGTGATAATTTTCATTGAGAAGAATGAAAGCACACAAAAAGACATTAAAAAAAACAGCCACGTAAATCAAACCCAATGGGATAATTACAAAAATATTTGGACACTGAGGACAAAAGAAAAACGTCAAACTGAGCAAGGGAAGCAACCTCCTCCAAATATCTCTCAACCCCTATAGAAATCATATTTTTCCTAAGTTCTGAGAGAACTCAGGTATTACAAATAGCCAAGGCGAGATAAAAGTTCTACTTGTAAGAGTTTTGAAGCTACAAGCACTGAGTTACAATTGCCAAATGGCATAGGAAAACGGTAATGGAAATTGGAATAGCGTGGGATGGCAGCTTCATATTTAAGTAAACAGAAGCAGAGGACTAATATCCAAAATTCTGCCTGCTTACCAGACCCCTAACTTCTGCTATTCATAATCACCAATACAAACCAACTTTGCAAGTAAGTAAAAATCTGTCAATGCTTATATTCAAAATAATATTCCCACTATTTTCCTACTAATCCTCAAACACTTCAATCATAACATTATTTCAAGGTCCCTGTACTAGTTTCAACACATGATATCTGCTACAGAAGGTTGGAAATTCAAGTAGTTAAACTTTAAAGCACTGACAAATTCAGCCCTAAGATGGAAAAATGCATCCTGTTGAATGGAAGAAAATTCAGCTCCTCTAGATAAAGGAGGTCTCGGCAAAGGCAGCATTAGAAACAAAACCAAGCTCTACTGACAAAATGGGACTGGAGATATTTGATTGAGAATTCTCCCCTATGAAAGAAGATGACTCCAGCGAAATTTGGAACTTCAGCAACAGATCCATGGCAGGCAAAAAATTCCCAGATTTTTAAAGGCCCATGGACTGGAATCCTAAATTATATAAGCAATATAAAGGAGAGGGCTAGATGCAAAATAGGAAATGGCCCACTGCAAGCTTCTGGAACGGGAAAGCTTTATAGAGGAAAGGGTGTGAGATAGCTCCATCCAGCTTGTGATCTCATTGTGCTTAAGAGGTCTTCTAAAGGAGTAGTCCCATGATTTGTATGTGCTGACCATATCTCTAAAACCCGCAACCTTTTGTTGGTATATAAGTCATAGAGGATTGGGTAAGCTGTAGCCAAAGGTGTGCCTTGTGTCACGGTCATGCTCGTCCAGGGCCTGTTGCCTGTGGCCGCATGCCCATAACAACCTCTTTCCACATACTTTCATGTCATGTATTTAGTTTTGCTTGTTATTTAGTTTTCCTTGTACTTTTGGTGGCGAGTGACTCCTCGCCACTTTGCATGTTCACGCCTGCCAAAGGCAAAATGCTTTATAATCTACCTTAGGGGGTACACCTAGTC